ACCCAAATTCCTCTCCAACCTGGCATTTCTGATAAGGGTTAGAATTTGTTTGATGCCAGGGTGCCAGACTCAAGCTAACGGTTGATGATCAAATGGGAAAGATTTTATCTCAATCTGCTAGAAAGGAAGAACTTTCTAACAGAGTCCTTTAAAGACTTAATGGAATGGCCAGGGAGGTGAGGAGAGCCTTGACATTGAATCTAAGCATCAGTAGGATTGCCTAGATCCAGGCAATGGACCATGGATCAGCAATATCAGATTTATCTAGAAATTTGTCAAAATTCTTACCCAAATCCAGTCAACGAGACTCTATTGGGAGGGACTCAGGAACACAAGTTTGAACAAACTATCCTGGGGATTCTTATTGTACAAGAGACTGGAGAGATACTCAAGGACTTCTCAGTTATACCATTTAATAGCTTGGCTACTGGGCCTCTTGTGCTGAGTTTTCCAGGAAGTCAGGGACCCTCTAATCCAGGAGACAAGAGAGGCTCCAGGATAGTAATGTGGTGGCGAGAACATACTTGCCAAACTCCCTGGGCTGAACGACTCTTGACTCAAACCTTCCCCCTATACCTAAGAGGATCCGAGGACTAGAGTCACAGTGGGGAATGACTGGGGTCACTTCTTACTCCTCTACATCATCTCAGAAAACGTGTGGAATCAGTCATCTTTGCAAGTTCAGAGCCTTCCCTTGTCAAGGCTAGAAGTAGGAACATTTTCAATTCATCTCTGGCATGCCCTGTACCTGAAGATGACTTGAAAAAGTCCTGTCCCATTCCAGAGGCAGCCTTGGGAGAAATAAGCAATGCTCTTGATTTTTTTTTTTTCCTTTCAGGATCTAGTTTATAAAAAGGATGGAAGATATAGCACAGTTCTAGAAAGCTCTTCATCTGCCCAGTCACCAAAATAACAGGAGATTTACACATGTGGGCTGTGGCTTTCATCGACACACCCTAAGGGGCTCATTGTCCTTCCTCATTGTGTTTCCATAGAGAAGTAACACATACTTCAGTGTAACACACACACCTCACAGCCTCCTCCCCAGGGCATGGGAATCACTCCTCCCAGAGTGTGGGAAGAACTGAGCATGCTCATCTCAGCGGTCCTGGTCTCTCCTTCATCAGCTTCCGGGAAGACAATTCCCTGGCCCAGAGCTAAAGCAGGTGGGCCAGCCTCTACCACCCTGGTGATGTTAGTAGCTACCTAAGGCTAGGTGCCTAGGTGGCCCAGTGGACTGACTTCTGTGACTACCTAAAAACCTGGCAGTTTTTATCCACCCAGTTTTGTCGCAAAACAGTGCCCTGGAAACTTGCTCCTATAAAAAGTACAACTGAGTGAACTCGACTGGGCCATTCTACTACGGCACTTGGGGTCGTCATGAGTTAGCATTGACTGGATGGAAATGTTTTCTGGTTTGTGGTCACCTAGAAGTGGGGCAAGAACTTGAGACTTGAGCTACAACTTAATCTTAGGGTCATCGTGAGAAACCTGCGGTGGTCCCTCATCCAGGCCAGGGTCTGCAATCAGTTACAGCAGTCAGAGGCCATGTCTCCCTTGAACTTCTACTGGGTCCTGCACAGCCCAAGGATGTTCTGTTCCTGACACTGAGGCAGGGCTCTCCTGGGACTCCTCCAGTTCAGTGGCCTTGTTTTCACAGTGCCTTCCACTGAGAACCTCTCCCCTCCCTACCTCACACCCCCAGCTCTGCCTGTGATTGTCTGTGAAGGATCAGCATCAATGCAACCTTCTCCACCCATCACCTTTGGAGACCTGCTTCTTCCCTCCACTAATGCAGCACGTATCTCCTGTATTCTGACCATGACCTGCGGTAAGAGATACTGTGTATATGGACAAACACACACGGTTGTCACTGTAACAGACAGACAAATGCCACAAAACTGCACTTAGTTTACTACACAAAATGTGCTTTATTCTTATCTAGCCTGTTTCACAGGTTGTTGTTGTTTAATGCCGTTGAGTCGTAGACGACTCATAGCGACCTTATGAACAAACAGTCTGAGCACTGTTAGTACATAGAGTTTCTGGAGGCAAGCCATTTCGGAAGTGGATGTCGCTCCTGCTTCCAGGTTTCACAGGTGGGGGGGACAATTCACTAAACTCACTTTATTAACAGTTTAAAAACCTCATAGTTTGCATTTAGTTCATCTGACATACTTTGGACACATTGTAAGGAGGGACAGGTCCTTAGAGAGGGACATCATGTTTGGGAGGGTAGAGGGACAGCGCAGGAGGGGAAGGCCCTCTATGAGGTGGATTGATTCAGTGACTGGGATAATTGGGATGGGTGTGTCAGAGGCAGTGCGATTGGCACAGGATAGAGCAGGGTTTAGGGCTGTTGTACATAGAGTCGCTATGAGTCACAAGTGACTCAAGACACATAACTACAACAGCAACTTAATTACTTGATATGAAATTTTCTCCAAAGAAATGTCAAGTTAAGGAGAGAAATAGGCAAAATATGTCTCTGTCTCTATCTCTATACCTATAATCACATTTAAAGTTTTTGACAGCATTTATTCAATGAGACACACACACACACACACACATCAACATTCAAAAGTAAAATATTTGCCATGGAATCAGAAAGGACTCTTAGTTGACCTTACAGTGAAGTTTTCAGAGGCTAAAAATCTCTCATAGGCAGATATTACTCATCTTTCTCCCTCGGGACAGCTAGCGTATTTAAAGCACATATGGTTGGGTTGGTAACCCAATTCCTTATACATAAAGCCAGAGTTTCCTCACACACACATGAACACATGAGAGAGAGAGAGAGAGAGAGAGAGAGATTATCTCCTACCTCTAAGTGGATACTCAAGAAACTAGTGACCTTAGCTGACCCATAACCTGTCAGTAACATGTACAGAATACGAGTGATTGAATACTAAATCTACATTATTTATTCTTGCCTCAGGCCAAGGACACAGTAGATATCCATACATGGTCAACTCTTGAACTGAATTAGAAAGACTGAATGAAGTCCCCAAATCTATTAAACCCATCTGCTTTTCTTCATTTCCTCCCACCTTCTTTCCCTTACTAATTAATTCTTCAGTATATATTTAATAAAGACCCCACTGTGTGCCAGGCAGAGAGATGGCATTGGTCTTAGCCTGATTTTACTTTCTCTCAGATTGGCTTCCATTGTTAGTCTGCATCTTAGTTCGATCCTTTCTTGAGGCAGATGCTTTGTCTTCCATACATGGTGATAAGAAGTTCTATCTACGTTTCTTGACTAATTTCACGACACTGCTTGCTGGTCACCCTGCCACCATCTTCACTGTTAATATCATGGTCAAGAACTCTAGGAGTACCAGAGAGAATATGAATGCATTCTTCCAAAATCAGTTGCCAAATGAAGCTTTTCCAAAACTCACGCTTACTTGGCCATGGAACACACCTTCGACGTGGTGACTCTCAATAAACTTACCTCTTAGTACTGTCTTCCTACACTGACTCAGAATTTTACCTCAGAACTTATCTTGACCTTTGGAACAACTGCAAACATAATGCAAGTGAAAGAGCTACTTGTATATTGAGGCTCGTCTGCCTAGAAGCCATGAACCCAGCCGCCATGCTGTGAGGGAGTCCAAAGCACAAGGAGAAACTATGTGGAAACTAATATAAATGTTCCAGTTTACAGCTCAGACTGAGCTTCCAGTCAGTGGGCGGCACTGACTGCCCGTCCTGCATATGCACCATCTTGGAATCATGAGAGATAATAAAATGGTTCTTTTATTTAATTCATTACATTTTGAGGTGACTTGTTACTACCTAAAAGACTGAGGAGGAAATCATCTCTCAATGCTGTCTTTTAAGCTCCACATGGACCACACAGGATCCATCCAAGCGGGATGGTGTTCCCATGAGGTTCTTCAGGTTAAGAATCTACATGAACGTTCTCCTGAGGGATCAACAGTAGAAGATAGTGTCATCTAAGTCCAGAATGCTAGTGCTAGACAGACTCTCATAGGCTCTCTGAGTCGTGTTCCTCTTACCAGGGCACCAAGACTCTGGGAGCAATTCAGCATCATAGCCAGGGAAAGACAAAGTCTAAGATAAATCTAGATACCTTCTAGAGCATCGCTTTGACTTAAAAATTAAGAAAGGGGAATGAATGATGTTATAGTAGGGCAAATAGTAATGTTTTAGAGAGGTCTACAATATGGGTATCAAGTTTTACTGTCGGATCCAAGTTTACCACACATTTATAGGATTTCCCTTACAGTACATAGATTTCCCCTCATTCTCTGGTTTCTGGTATTAGGGGAGCTTTGGTGAAGTGGAATGAGCTCTGATTGCCTTAAACCCTCTTCTACTGCCGATGGGGAGATTCAGGCTTAAAAAATCATGTGAAGGAATGGTGGTGGTGTTGATTGCTGTTGACTCAAGTACAACTCATAGCGATCCTATGAACAAAAAGCCTGAAGCATTTCTATAACTATCATCGTTTCTCCGAGTTCACAGAGTTTCCTGAGGCATGTTGTTTAGGAAGTGGCTGCCACTCTTGCTTCCAAACCTGTCTGTGAGACACACCCCCCTCAATTATGATGAAGTCCTACTCTCAGATGTGTAAACATGACATTGTTAGAAAACAAGGCATTTGAAGGTGTTATAATTAAGTGAATGTGAGTCAATACTTAATTGGGTGAGTCTTAATTGAACTTATGAAAAAAGGAGAAAACACATTGAGCAGGGAGTCAGAGGAAAGACATCTGGAAACCAAGGATGCCTGTACCTACTAGAAAAAGAGGAGAGAGACAAGGAACTAGCCAGCACCTTGATCTTGGACCTACAGCCTCCAGAACTATGGGTTGATAAATTTCCATTCTTATAAACCACTCAGCTGTGTTTTGTTCCAGCTTTGCATGTCTCGCTCCATCAACCATTTTACCAATTACAAGGTTATAACCAGGCAAAAAGAGTAAAGTTTTTGAGGGAGCCTTCCAGTGGAAGCGGAATGACAAGTCCATTACCTTTCCTGAAGTCTTCACACCTTTCCAAAGGCTGAAAAACAGGATGATGACCACCACCATGAGGCACAGCAAGAGCTGCCACTGCGGCAGGCCAATGTCGTGGATCCCGTCACTCTCATGAAGGTGCAGGACGCCACGCCTGCCGGACGAGGGAGACACGGGCAGAGGAAGTGATATCAGGACCCAGCAAGACTATGAGCCCAGACCAGTCCCTACAAGTGCAAGTGAAGACAGGGACCAAGTGCTTCTGCTTCTCTCCCCCCTTGTGTCCCAGGACATAACATATTCATCCCCCACTCAGGTCAGTCATAGACCCTGCCCCAGAATGCTAGGTTCCCTGGCCTGAGAAAGGGCTGCTCTTTCCTGCAAGTAAATCATCTGGGAGACTCCCAGCACAGGCTGCTTTAAAAAGGTGCTTGGGGTGAGCTCCGGTGGCCTAGTGGCAAGAACCTATACTGCAATCCCAGAGGTGTGTGGTTCAAATCCACCAGATGCTTTACTGGAGAAGGAGGAACAATCTCCTCCTGTACCAGTCAAATCTGATTTGACGGTACACACACACACAAAAAAAATAATAAAAATAAAAGTTATTTAAAAAAAAATAAATGAAAAGGTGCTTGGAAAGGAATTTAACCTAACAAAAACCTGCATGCCTACTGTGTGCTTGACCCAGGAAGATGGCTATGAATAAGACCTGACGTTGCTGCCTCCACAGAGTTCAGTCCAGAGCAGAGCTACTCAGCTGGGGGTAGTGTTCCCCTCAGAGCACCCTGGGTGATGCCTGTGCCCTGGTGGTTCAGTAGTTACCAGCTCAGCTGCCAACCGGAAGGGTGGGCATCTGAACTCGCAGCCCTGGAAACCCTGAGGGGCAGTTGCACTCTGTCCAGTGGGATCTCTCTGAGTTGGAGTCAACTTGATGGGCGTGTGTGGTTTTTAGTGTGGAGTTGCCATGGAATAACTCCTCAAAAGCATTACTCTGCCAATTTTCTGACCCCCAAATCCCAAGAAACTCCTGTTCACTTAAAAACAATGGTTCTCACTTGAAATAGTGATTTTTGCTTCTAACCTCCGGACAACACCCTGGAGGTATGTGACAACGTCTGGAGTCAGTTTAGGTTGCTACAATTAGGGGGTCCTGTTGGTATCTGGTGGATAGAGGCTAGGGGTACTAGTGCACAGGGAACCCCTCCCGACAAAGAGGCCACTGATCCAAGATGTCAATTGTTGCTCTAGAGAGAAAATCTAGCTCTTTCCAAATCAGGGGCCTTTCACAACCGTAGCCCTGTGCCAGTTCATTGCCAGCCTCACCACACCCTTTCACTCCTGGCAACAGCGAGATACTTGACATTCCCGGTCATTTGATACTCTAATTGTTCTGTCTGGGGACCTGTTGTTCCTCCAGCCTAAATGATGTATCCCAGCCCAAGTTGTCCGCCTGGCAAACTTGATTCCATCCTTCTGGTCTCAGTAAAATGGACTGATACAATCGCCACAACATTGGGCTTGCCAAGTGCTGGCTTTGAAACTTCCTAAAAGGGCTCTAGGGTCCGGTCAGAGGGACAACAGACCTCTGAAACATTGTATTCAAATTTTGTAAGTAAACAAGTAGAAAATTTTTTAAAAAGAGGGGGAAAGATAAAAAAAAAAAAAAAGAAGAAGGGGAACTCTGGTGGCCTAGTGGCAAGGAGCTGCAACTACAATCCCTGAGGTGCACGGTTCAAATCCACCAGATGCTCTGCCGGGGAAGGAGGGACAATCTCCTCCTGTACCAGTCAGATCTGATTTGACGGTACATTCACACAAAAATAATAAAAAAAAAATTTAAAAAAAAGAAGAAGAAAAATAAAGGTCATATCACTGTTGCCGGAGTGATCTACATATCATATGGGTGGAAAAGGCCAAACATGAACATCATCAACAGTCATGAAGATAGCACAGAACTGGGTAACCTTATACCTAAAGGAGCTCTGGTGGTCTAGTGGTAAGAAACTGCACTGCAACTCCAAAGGCTAGTGGTTTGAAATCACCTGTTGCAATCTTCTCCCATGCAATTTACTGCCTCTGAAAACTCACTAGAGGGTCAGCTTTGGATTGGTTCTGATGCAATGATAAACAACATCAAGGACCCCAAAGGTCAGAATAAACCTGATAGCAAATCATAATAACTCAAAGATGGCCTCCCTTGAGCAGTCATCAAGCGCTATCAAGTAGGTTCTCTCAGAAAGAGGAGAGAGGGCGGCTAGGAGGGGCTGATCAGCGGACAAAAAGAAACTGGTACTGAACCTCTGTCCCCTCTAATTCCATGAAGCATGGTCCAATCAATGTTTAGCTAACATGACTATTGAAGTCATGGTCGGCAGAGGACCAAAAAAAAGGTACTACATCAGCTTGTTTGCTTTGAAACTCCTTGCAATGGTTCTAGGGTCAGGTAGACAACTTGCCCCCACCAGGCCCTGGTGACCTGGCACTGCATTTAAAGCCCACATCAGTGTGGCAGGGTCGTCTAGATAATCTCTCGGGGGAAAGAGTCACGTTCTTGAGCCAATTGTCCAGAAAAGAATGAGCATCCAGCCCATTGCCCACACCTTGGGGAACTGGTATAAAGAATTTGGGTTTGTTTTAATGTTTACAGCAGTGCAGCAAAAATGAATCATCGTTAAGCATATGGTCCAAGGTTTCCCAAGTCTAAGGGCCAAACAAGCTGTTTCTCACTTGCCATTAAAGTGCAGAGGGTCAGTACAGGGTGAGGAAGACTTCTCGCCCAGAACAGGTCCGGCACAGAGGTTTTCTCTCCCACACAAACATTCATGGGAGTGCCATTTACAGATGAAAAGACACACAGAGGGCCCACTGTGGGCTGTTTGATTTCAAGCCCAGAGCCTGGGGAGTAGAGAGGTTTTGTTCCTTCAAATGATGTGCTCAGTTCATCAACTTAAATGAATACAAGATGGTCACAAAATTGGCCAGGAGGATCTAAGGGAAGGGAGGGGGGACCTAGCTAGCCTCCTCGGAGCTGGCACTAGGAGTATCCACTGCTGGGTTTCCAGTTACGGAGACTAAAGATGAAACATCTGGAAGACAAGGGGCCTGCTGCCATTGTTGTTGTTATGTGCCATTGAGTCGCTTGAGACTCACAGCGACCCTATGTACAACAGCCCTAAACCCTGCTCTATCCTGTGCCAATCGCACTACTTCTGACACACCCATCCTGATTACCCCAGTCACTGAATCAATCCACCTCATAGAGGGCCTTCCCCTCCTACGCCGTCCCTCCACCCTCCCAAGCATGATGTCCCTCTCCAAGGACCTGTCCCTCCTTACAACATGTCCAAAGTATGTCAGACGAATCTTCAGAATCCTTGCCTCCAAGGAGTAGCCTGGTTTAACCCTCTCTAGGATGAATCTGTTTGTTTTCTTGGCAGTCCATGGAACATTCAATACTCTTCTCCAGCACCACAGCTCAAAGGCATCAATTCTCCTTCTATCCTCCCTAGTCATTGTCCAACTCTCTGATGCATAACAAGTGATTGCAAAGACCATAGCCTGTATCAGGCGCACCTTAGTCTCCAGAGTGACACCATTGCCCTTCAGTACCCTGGAGAGGTCCCTAACAGCAGACTTTCCCATCGCAATACTTTTTTTTAATTTCCTGGCTGCTTTTTTTTATTTTCTGGCTGCTGCCATTAAAAAAAATAAATAGGCCCAGAGCTAACTTGGGAGTTAGTGCTGTACATTAGAAAGCACACAGCCAGGGCAGCAGGTAAGAAAATCCACAAGAAATGTTCATATACACCTGCAGCGACCCCATACTCCTACCCCAAATATGGCCCCACTGGGCACTCCGAAGGAGCTCTGTTGACACAGTATGGAGCATATTGTGCTGCAAGCTACAAGGATTAGTGTCTCTGTTGGTTCAAATCCATCAGCTGTTTCCCAGAAGAAAGACAGAGAGACGTCTCCTCCTGTTTAGATTTACAGCCTCGAAAACTGACTCGACAGTAGTGAGCTTGAGATTTTTTTTTTCCCATTGAGGTGGAGACTCTCACAGGACAGAGAAGAACAAAGATTTGAGAATCGGCTGATAGTCTTGAATCAGGCAACTTGGCTTCAGATCATGGCTCTGTCATTTACTTTACATTTGAGCCTCCACTTTCTGATCTGTAAAATGGGAATCATTCCCATTATTTCCATCAATAAGGAAAATGATATGGGGTTTGGCTCAGTGCCTGCGGTGGCAGTGAAATTTTAGGGGAGGAAAAAATTTGAAGGAGAGGGTGAGGGGGTTGTTCGGTAAGTTTAAATGTTAAAAAAAACAAACAACCAAAAACACAAAAAAAACCCCAACAACAACACAAACCTGTTTCATTCTGCTCCCTGCTACACCCTCAGCCTTCCAGGCACACCCATGAGAACACCATTCTCTGCCACATTCTTACCCAAACTGAGCCTGGAGGAAGTTTAGATCTGTAATTAAAGTAACCTGGGTTGTAAAACCCAAATCACATCTCCCTCCTGCTGGGTGTCTTGGCTGGGGTATTAAGACATTAAGACGTCAGTGGAAGAATAAAATAATAACTGGACTGGAGACGAAGCTATTGTTTTCCATTTTTCATTTATAAGGGCAGAAGTTGCCAAGAGCAAAAAGAAAAATGATGCCTTTTCCTTCACAAAAAGGATGCGAGGGAGCGCGGGAGATTGAACATTGGACACAGCAACAGCCTCTGCCCCAAGGTTCTATGCCCCTCACAATGCATGTGGACCTCCAGCACAGACGCTCTGAAGTCCTGGAACTTTCTGAGCCCACACTCCTCAGGAACGAGTGAAGGAGGCCCTAGAACTGCCATGGTATGACATCGAAGAGATGTCAAGTTCACCCCAGCACAAGTCATGCTTTGCAGCAGGCAGGAGAACACAGAGGCTATGGTGGTGTTTCTCAACTGCAACTGGACATCAGAGTCATCGAAGGACCCAATGCCCTGTCTACATGCAGACCAGTGAAATCAGCATCTTTGAGTGTGGGGCCCAGACTTCAGGAGCTTTTAAAGCTCACAAGGTGATTCCAATACGCAGCCAATGTTTAGAATCACTAGGCTACCTGTGAGTTTGGGCCTTGGAACAAGAACACCTTTATTCAAACCCATTTCAATGCCTCTTCTAATCTGTAGGACTTTGGGACATCATTTAACTGGTTTATGCCTTGACTTCCTTATTTTAAAAAATGAGAATAGTTCCAGCACAGTGCATATAGGTCTCTGATCAGTATTTTAAATTTGGATAGAAAAAACACTTTGTATACTGGCTGGGGCATAATCTTAATGGAATAAAATTGAGTTGTGATTATGGCAACATTTCTGAGTAAATGACAGCCACTTATAGGAATTTAGGGAGTTCTGGTGGCCTAGTGGCAAGAAGCTGCGCTGCAATCCCAAAGACATATGGTTCAAAGCCACGAGCTGCTCCACAGGAAAAGGCTGGGCAATCTCCTCCCGTGTGGTTAACTGTCTCTAAAAACCTGCTGGAGGATCAGCTCTGGGTCGTTTCCAGCTCAACAGTATACAACAACAACACAGGAATTTAGCAGCTCTGCTGACTTAGTGGTAAAGAGTCATACTACCAACCCAAAGGCAGGCAGTTCGAATCCACCAGCTGCTCTGTGGGAGATTTACAGCCTCTGAAAACCCAGTGGAGGGTCTGCAGTGACTTAGTTCCCACTCAACGACACATCATAACAGAGGAGTTACAGCGGTGTAATGGTTAAGTAATGGCACCAAACAGAAACAATATAACTGCTAGAATTCAAAATAACACAGAGGCTAAGAGGGTGAGCTCTGCACTTTTACAGCCTGGCAGGATGGAGAGCAAGGTGAGGACAGTAAGGCGTTAGGGTGTAAAGTTTAGGCAGGCACCCTCTCAGGGCCCTGCAGATGCAAGCTGCATCTTGGCTGTGAATGATACTAGCTATGTAATTGTGGATCCATGTGTTACTTTCTGATTTGTAAAATGAAGCTAATCTCAGCAACCTCCTCATTTGGATAAGGAGGATAATGGTTAGAGACTTTGTTGTTGTTGTTGTTATGTGCCATCAAGTCGCTTGGGACTCATAGTGACCCTATATACAATAGTCCTAAACTCTGCTCTGTCTTGTGCCACTGTCTCTGACACACCCATCCCGATTACCCGTCACTGAATCAATCCACCTCATAGAGGGCCTCCCCGTCCTGCACTATCCCTCTACCCTACCAAGCTTGACGTCCCTCTCCAAGAACCTGTCCCTCCTTACAACATGTCCAAAGCATGTCAGACGAAGCTTCAGAATCTTTGCCTCCAAGGAGCCACTTGGTTTAACTCTTTCCAGGATGAATCTGTTTGTTTTCCTAGCAGTCCATTCAATACTCTTCTCCAGCACTACAGCTCAAAAGCATGACTTCTCCTTCTATCCTCCCTAGTCATTGTCCAACTCCCTGATGCATAACAAGTAATTGCAAAGACCATGGCCTGTATCAGATGTACCTTAGTCTCCAGAGAGACACCATTGCTCTTCAGTACTTTGGAGAAGTCCCTAACAGCAGACTTTCCCATGGCAATACGTCTTTTAATTTCCTGGCTACTAGTGCCAAGAGTGTTGACTGTGGAGCCAAACAGACTAAAGCTGTGAACAATCTCAATCTCTTCACCATCCATCCTGATGCTGCCAATTGGCCCAGTGGTGAGACTCTTTGTCTTCTTGACATTGAGCCTCAATCCATATTGTAGGCTGCAGTCCTTGACCCTCTGCAGCAAGTGCTTCAGGTCCTTCTCAGTTTCAGCAACAGGACTGCGTCATTTGCATAATGCAGATTGTTGATAGATCTTCCACCAATCTTGACCCCACATTTCTCCTCATAGAGCCCAGCCTCCTAGATAATCTGCTCTGCATACAGGTTGAAAAGGTATGGAGACAGGACACATCCCTGGCGTACGCCCTTCCCAATTTTGAACCATGCAGTGTTTCCTTGCTCTGTTCTGACAACTGCCTCTTGGTCCAAGTATAGGTTTCTCATTAGTGAGGCTTAAGTCCAGGTAACATAGACAAAGAAGTGAGCCGAAAACCTGACCTACCTGGTACTTATTATTACTGTGTTAGAGAGGAAGCTACAGATACTGTTTAGACCAGGGCTCACTTTAAGTAACAACAGTGTTCCCAATCATTCGACAGGTCGGATGGTTCACACTCAACTACTAATATAATGGTCCAGTTCACACTGGACTGTGTGGATCACAACAAATTGTGGCTAACCTTGAGAAGAACGGGAATCCCAGAACACTTGACTGTGTTTATGTGCTCATGTGAAAACTATAAGCAGTCCTCAAAACAGAGCAAGAAAACACTGCATGATAGTTCAAAATCGGGAAAGAAGTGTGTCTCCATACCTTTCAACCTGAATGTAAAACAGAGCATTTGGGAGGGTGGGGTGTACGAGGAGGAAATGTGGCATCAGGATTGGAGGAAGATTTATCAACAGCCTGTGATATGCAGACGACACAACCTTGCTTGCCGAAACTGAGGAGGACCTGAAGCACTTGCTGCGGAAGGTCAAGGACTACAGTCTTCAATATGGATTGGAACTGAACATCAAGAAGACAAAGATTCTCACCACTGGGCCAATTAGTAGCACCATAATAAATGGAGAAGAGATTGAGATTGTTAATAACTTGAGCTTGTTTGACTCGACCGTCAACACTCTTGATACCAGCAGTCAGGAAATCAAAAGACAAATTGCATTGGAGAAGACTGCTGAGAGGGACCTCTCCAAAGTCCTAAATAGTAATATTAGTCTAGGGACTAAGATGTACCTGATCCAAGCCATGGTCTTCACAGTTGTTTGCTATGCATCAGAGAGTTGAACAATGACTAAGAGTAACTGAAGAAAAATCGATGATTTTGAGCTGTGGTGCTGGAGAAGAGTACTAAATATACATACCACGGACATTCAAAAGAATGAACAGGTCTGTCCTGGAGAGGGTTAAACCAAGTCCTGGAAATTTGCTTCTGTAAATATTACAACTGAGAAAACCCTGTGAGGCAATTCTTCCCTGTCATATGAGGCTGGCAGGAGCGGAAATTGACTCAATTGTCCCAATAACAAGAGCTTTCACACTTTGCAAAATTTGGTTCTTTTTTTTGAAAAGCATTTATGTCTCCCTAAGATGATCCTTGATAGGGTCACTGGGACAACGGGGGTTGGTGTGTTGCAATTAGTAAGACTGGCTCATTACAGGGCAGAGTTCACTGCTGCCGTACATAGGGTCGCTATGGATCATAGGCGACTCGATGGCACTTAACAAAAAACCAAAAATGATCCTATTGTGTGTGTTTACCTGTAAATTATCTCCCGACCAGGACCCTCACCCCAACTGCCACCTCCCTGCCTTAGAACATTAACTTCTCAGTCTCTCTCCTCCGCCACTGGTCATTGTCTCAACTCCTATCTGTACACCCTCCACTCAGCTTTCCTCGACGCCATCTTTCTAACTCAAACTATCACTGATGAAACCAGGGTCAGATATCTGCAAAGATCACATGGGTTGACTGGTGTGATCCCCTCACCCTCGCATGTTTCTATTAGTATCTGACTCAGGTCACGTACCCAAGTGAGGTCTGTGCACAGGATCAGGGTTCAAGGACTTACTCGTAGAACTCTGCAGCAGGTGTGAACTTGTACTTAGAGTACTTAGTGTGGTTGCCCAGCACGGAGCCATTGAGGAGCTTGGGGTCGGTGCAGTTGGGGCTGTTCCAGGCATGGCCACAGTCCGTCCAGGGCAGGTTTAGGGTGAAGGAGGAGAAGAGGTAGTAGAGTGACCAGGCAATGATGACGTTGTAGTAGAAGCCAACGTAGAGGGCGATGAGGATCACGGCATAGCCAACGCCTGCGTGAGGGGGAAGAGGGTCAGGCGAATGGTCTCAAGGCTCAACCTCAGAGCCACCTCTCCTGGGAAGCCAGTCCCAACTACTACACTGTGCGGCCCCCAACTCTTCCTCCTCTCCCTAAAAAAACCCCACAGTTGCCAATGAATTGACTCTGACCCTCAATGATTGCATGTGTGTCCGAGTAGAGCTGTGTACCATAATATTTTCTTTATTAAAAAAGAAATTATTTTACTAATTTAATAAACATTTACAGAGATTTTGGATTTCCATTCATCCATTGCTGCGCTTTTTTCTCTACACCCCCCTGACCCCAGTTCATTCCCTTTTTAAAAGTAAAAGATAAACTTCTTCGTTGATATACAATCCCTCCGCCCCAAATGCACTCCACTATGCAAACTTAATTAAGGATTCCTGTGATAATCATAATACCCTATCATAAATCGCTTTTAAACTGTTCTCTCCCTCATCTATTTCAATTCAGTATACATAATCTATCCAGTTTTTCTCAGTCTTACCCCAAGCCTGAAGTCAGTCCCATTGGCTGGCTTTTTATAGATCTTAAGTCCTTTCTTCATAAGAACTTTATTAGAAGTTCTCCAGGTAAAACAGAACCTCTAACTTAGCAATTAGAAGCCAAGGGTGTTGAGCTCTTGCATCACTGAGGGACTCCTTTAGAAATTATCTTTGAGATGGTATAACTTATGTATACTGCACTGAAATGATGAGAGAACTGTTTAAAAGGGATATATATGATTAGGTATTACTTTCATGAAAGGAGTCAAGAATGAAGGCTGCATTGTGGAGTGGACTTGGGGGGAGGGAGTGTATAACAATGAAAGGTTTTTCTTTTACTTTTCAAGGAGAAGAGTGAATGGGGTGAGAAGAGGGTAGATAGGGAGAAAAGTGCAACAATGAATGAATGGAAATCCAAAGTCTCTGTAAATTTCATTAAAACGAATAATAATAATAATAATAATAATAATAATAAAAACAAAACAAAAAATTAATCATCACTGGGCCATGCCCACCACCATTACCCTGATTTTTCAGGACCCTGCCAGAAAAAAGAAAAAAAAAAAAGACATTATCTTTGAGTGATTCTTAGAGGTTTACATCTTTCATGGGCGCATGACTCACTCCAGTACTGTTGATACCATTACTGTTGATACCAGTACACACAGTACTGCTTCCCTGTAGTCACGGGGAGCGGTTCTTAGATGGACATCTCATTCAAGTCAGCCAACGAGCGTCTTCTCTGGGTCCTTTACTGGGACCATGAAGCTAGAAGAGTTTACTTGTTTGCTTATGGCCGTTGTTAAACTTGATGAGATTTAAGCCTGGAGTTACTGATGGCCATCTTTGCAAGTGCTCAAGGAGAAGATATCAGAAAGATGCTAATACAGGAAAATAAAACTAAGACTTGGAGAGAATCCTGAAAACATCATATGAGCATCTGGAAGACAGTTATCCTGGTTATCCTTGGACTTGACTTTAACATCAGCCAATAAATTCCTTTATGTTTATAAAGACAGTGTAGTATAACAGTGGAATTTATGGCAATAGAAATGAAACAAAAAAAATCCCAACGCCCAACTCTTCAAAGCCTCTTTTATCTAACACAAGATTGAGCACACACAGAAAGTTCTTGAGAGACACATCCCAGCTAAAAAGTGGTCTTGGGAGTGACACTGGCCCTTGTTGCGTTCTGGGCCCCGTTTCCTAACTAGTGGTACTTGGGAAATGCCAATTCGTTCCTTCATGTTTTTCTCTTGGCTCTGTAGGGTTCAAGAAATGGCAGCTGTTGTGGCTACTTTCTCCAAAAATGCCCTAAGTTTCAAACACAAAGCTGGCCAAAGAGGCTTCATCTATGTTCTAGTTGTTTCTTCAAGGCTGCTGCGTTGAGTCTTATAAACAGCTTTCTACTTGAGCAGGAAAGAATCTATCACCCATGACCAACGTTGGCCACAAGGGTAAAAAGGGAGCGTAACAGTATGTGCGATATGTACTTCTGATATTTCAGAAGTGTTTCCCATACAGAAAAGCAGATTCTCTCTGCTCATCAGCTGCTGGACCCAGGTTACCAGACTTTCTGGCTAGAGCTCCTTCTGACATGCCTGATGCTCCAGATTCTGTGGATGGTGGACGCTTCTGACCTCATCAATGCCGCTCACCTCAACGTGGAAGCAGGTTCTCCAAGGTTGTCCCTGGAACCCTGTTGAATGACCCCAACCTCCCCCAAGCCCTTTCTTTACCTTTGAAGAAGGGACAGATCTTCCACACGGTGGCTGCGCCCTCTCGGTTGTACTGGCCCAGGGCCAGCTCCATGTAGAACAGTGGCATCCCAGCAATGATGAGGAACAGGGTGTATGGGATCAGAAAGGCACCTGAGGACAGAGAGGCAGGATGTCACCACCTTCCCCCTGCCCAGCCTCGGCTCTGCCTCCCGGAGTGCTGGATCAGAGCCTGCAGGAGCCTGGGGGTCCTCCCTTGGCCACTCACCCAGTTCCCCAGGGGTGTTTTGTGGCATAACAACTAAGACAGCCGATCTTGTGGTGATAATAGTAGTTATGTAATGGTAGAGACAATCTTAGCCATTGTAATAACAACGAGATTTGGTGATCAAATTAAAAAAAATGAATGAAGCAACCAATGCTCAATGGGTTTGGTTTCTGCAGGAGTCTCTGAGCCGCGGCTACCCAAATGGACATTGTAAAACTCTGTGAGGAAAACCACATATTTATTATGAAATGTATTAAACACAGACCTTTTCCTTCACAGATCACCACTCCGAGGAATGCTAATCTAGTCCAACATCTCCCTGTACAGACAAGAAAATTGAGAGGGAGACAAAGTGTCTGCCTTGGATAGAATTACGTCCCCCCACAATGCGTGGATATAATAATAAAGTCATCCAAGGATCCCTCATTATTTCATAATCCAACAGCTGTGACAGGACCAAGGGTGGGATGTGATACTCTTCATCACCTCACAGCCTTGATCCACAGAAGAGTGTTTTCCTGGGGTGTGGTCTTTAACACCTTTTATCTCACAAAGAAATAAAAGAAGAAAATAGCTAGTGGAGGTGGAATCTCAGCATCACTGGGAAAGAGTAAAGGGTCATGGATTCATCCTGCAGATCGTGCCGAGAAGCTCTACCAACAGGGGAAGACGTGGAGATCTCAAAGGAACACAGGAGCTCTGGTGGCTTAGTGGTAAAGAGTTACACTGCCAACCCAAAGGCAAGTGGTTCAAATCCCCTAGCAACTCTGAAGGAGAAAGATGGGCAGTGTCTTCCCATGCAATTTACAGCCTCCGAAAACCTGCTGGAGGGTCAGCTATGAGTTGGTTTCGACTCAATGGGCTATGACGATGACGACAACAAGGAGCACAGAGCCTGTGGATGCAAGGAAACAAGGACCTTTCTCCAGGACCAGCAGAGGAGGAAAGCCCTTTCTTAGAACCAGCACCCTAAATTTGAACCCCTTGCCTCCCAAAGTGTGAGAGAAGAAACTTCTGTTACTTAACACCACCCACTTGTGGTATTCCTGTTAGAGCCACACGAGACAGTGTCCAGAGTTACATTTGACCAAGGTCCCAAATTTGTTGTTGGATGCAATCAAGTTGATTCTGACCCAGGACAGTGATGGCAACTTTTGTGTCAGAGTAGAACGACTACAAGGCTGTGAAGTATTGGGAGAAGATGGTTCCCTGGCCTTCTGGGACGCTCTGGGCTGGTTTGAACCGCCAGCCTTTTGGGCAGTGTTTCAGTGCTGTTTATTTTACAGCCACGTGGGAACTTCCTAAAAATATCATCGCACCGCTCTCAAAGGTTACAACAGCTTACAGATTAATAAGGAGGCAAGATGTGTATGTTTTCCCAGGTGGCGTAGTGGTAAGAAGCTGTGCTGCATTCCCAAAGGCACGTGGTTCGAATCCACTAGCTACTTCACAGACTCCTCCTCAGTGATTAATTGTCTCTGAAAATCCTCTGGAGGGTCAACTATGAGTCAGTCCGGACTCGACAGCACAAAACAAAGGGAGATACTGAAGGGCAGGGAAGAGCGCCTGACCGCTAGGATCTGCCCTGTGTGTCAGGAACACAATGGGAATTGACAGTCAGCTCTCCCGGCCCATTAAACTCACTCAGTGGACAGAAGATGATAGGGTATTATGGTTATCACAAGAGTCCACAATTAAGGTTGCATAGTGGAATGTACTTGGGGTGGTGGGAGGGGTGCGGGGGAATTGCGTACCAGGGAGGGAGTCTTTCTTTTACTTTTGAAAGACAGGAACGAACTGGGGGGCGAGGAGAGAGGGCTGGGCGGGTAGAGAAGTGCAGCAATGAATGAATGAATGGAAATCCAGATTCTCTGTAAATGTTCATCTAAATTATTTTTTTAAAAAAGACTGAGGCAAAGGAGGCAGAGGCTCAAGTTTCTGAGCAGGGAAGACGTTCACTCAGGGCATCACGGAAACTGGACGGGATTGAGTGGGAGGCACCTCATAGGCAAGAGATAGAAGCAAGTGATTGCTGAGAGAAGTCACTGCAGAATCAGATATACCTGAGACCCAGAGCCATAGCTCAATATCCCAGCAGCCTAGGGGGGAGTGAAGCAGACTCTGATGCCTCCAGCTGACTCATGGGACACAGGTGACGTGGGCCCAGGCTGCAAGTGTGACTACCAAGTGCCACAAAAAGCCACCGCCCTTCCTATGCAGCCAAGCTCATGTCCAAACTTCTCCCACCGCCAGACTTTGGCTGAGAGGCCGGCACCTTGCAGGCCAGATACTCTCTGAGCCATCCTCACTGGGAAATGCAGAACCATGGAAAATCTTAAAGTACCTTCAACGCTAGTCCCTACAGGTATCAGCAGCTGACACTAACTGGCCCGTGCAATGTCTCGGTCAATGCTAACAACAGCCCTAGGATGCAGAGAGGATCATTTTGTCATTTCACTGATGTGGAAATTGGGGCTTCACGGTCGCAGAGATGAACTGTGACTGGGTCACCTGGTGTCTAGGGTCACGCTCGCCCAACAATTCAGACTAGCCATCTCCATTTTCTGCCCAAGACTTTCTCAGTGAGCCCAGGACACTCGGGAGCAGAGAATCAATTGCTGGCCACTATGCTCCGAGTCTCTGTTTCTCTACAGTGAGAGATAAACCAGCGAGGTGGGGAGAGGGAAGCAGTCACTACCCAGCAGGGTCAGTCACCTGCAGTCTTCTTACACTTTCAGGAAGCTTGAAGGAGCAACTGTCATACACATTTTTTTTTCCCAGAGGAAGAAACCAAAACTTGGAGAAACTGACCAAGCTTGCCCAGCTGCTAAGTGGTGCACCTAGGTCTTAGGCCCCTTCTGCCTGGCTCTGGGGCCCCTAACAGACCCTGCCTGATCCAGATCATACCTCTCTCGGGGAAGAACAAGGGGCTGAATGGGATGAAGGAGGAGGAAACGGCGCGAGTTTTTCCAATCTGGACCGGAACCGTGCTGATCAGATTGGACTCTGAAATGGACATGTGCTAACCTTTCTCTCCACCTCACTTCCTCCTTTCAGTCTCTGTCCTCCTCTGTCTTCCACACAGAAAGAGCTAAGCTGGTTCTGGGACCTGTGTTATCCACATTGATGGTGGCAGGTGCCGGTTGTGGGTGATGGTGCAGGTGATGGCAGTGACAGGTTGGTGAAAGTACCGAGTATTGTTTATTGAGCACCCAAGAAGCTGTGGCACCAGGGATATCATGGCTGAAAGCAAAGAATAACAGAAGAATGTCTATTTGTGTTTTATTGGCAATGCAAAAGCATCTGACTATGTGGATCATAACAGACTACAGCTAACATCAATAAGAATGGCGATCCTGGAACACCTATTTAGGCTCATATGTAACGTGTACCTAGACCAAAAAGCCATTGTATTAATATAGTAAGGGAACACTGCATGGTTAAAAATCATGGTTAAAAATGTGTGTCAGGGTTCTATCTTTTCTCCATACCTATTCAATGCTGAGCAATTGTTCAAGAAGCTGGACTCTGTGAAGAAGAAGATGGCATCAGAATCAGAGGAAGACTCAGCAACAACCTATGCTATGTAGATGACACAACTTTGCTTGTATAAAGTAGGGAAACTCAATATTCTTGCTACAGAAAATCAAAGACTAGAACCTTCCATGTGGATTGCATCTCAATATGAAGAAGACAAAAATCTTCACTACTGGGCTGTTAAGTACAATCATGATAAGCAGAGAAAAGATTGAAATTGGCAACAATTTCATCTTATTTAGATCCACAGTCAACACTCTTGGTACCAGCACTCATATCAGGAAACATTGCATGGGGCAAGTCCACTGTCAGGGACCTCTCCAAAGTACTGAGGAGCATTGAGTCAGTTTGAAGGCTAAGGTGTGACTTATTCAGGCCATGATCTTTTCAATCACTTGTTATGCACTTGAGAGCTGGACAGTGAATAAGGATGACAGGAGAATTGATGTCTTTGAGTTGTGGTGTTGGAGAGAGAACACTGGATATTCCACAGACTGTCAAAGAATTAAAAAAAAAAAGCTATGTCTTGGATTAGTACAGCCAGAGCGCTCCTTAAAGGCAAAGATGGGGAAGCTTTGTCACACATACTTTGGGGATGTTGCTAGGAGAGGGTATTCGTTGGAAAGGGGCCTCATACTTGGAAACGTGGAGGGTCGGCAAAATAGAAAAAGACCTTCAATGGGATGAACTGATGCAGTGACTGGAGCAATGGACTCAAGTGTGTCAGAGATAATGAGGACGGCACAGGATAGGACAGGGTTCAGATCTGTTGTTCATAGGGTCTCTACGAGCTGTACGCAACTCGATGGCACCTAACAACAACAATATATGGGAAACTTTACACTAAGTTTTCACCTACTTTTTGAAGCCATCCATCATTAGCCCCATTTTCTGCTCCCTATCTGTCAATCTGTCATGTTGTGGTGGCTTGTGTATCACTGTGATGCTGGAAGTCAGGCTACTGGGATTTTCAGTAGCAACAAGGCAGTCCATCATGGACAGGTTTCAACAGGCTTCCAGAGTAAGATAGACTAGGAAGAAAGGCCTGGCAATCTACTTCTGAAAATTAGCTAATGACAACCCCATTCATCACAACAGAATGTTTTCTGATATGGTGCTAGAAGATGAGCCCCAAGTTGGAAGACATTGAGCTCAAACAGGCTGATGATGATGGTGGTGGTGGTGGTGGTGGTGGTGTGGGACTTGACAACATGAAGTGGCACCAATTTGGTAGCAACTGATAAGGAAACTGAAGCTTAGAAAGGTCAAGCTGCTTGTCCAATAGCTTTGGAGTTGGGCTTCCAGCCTGAATCATTCTGAATCCCACCTTACCCAGTGGCCATTCGAT